CTGTATTTCTGTGCTAATCATGAAAGAGGAGCAAGGGGTGGAGAGGAAGGAAAAGCAGGAAGCAGGAGAAGGAGACAGAGAAGAAAGAAGAGAAGAAGAAAGCAGAGGAAAAGAATGAGGGGGGGAGGAAGAGGACGAGGAGGAGAAGGAGGAAGCAAAGTATGAGGGGATGAGGAGGAGGAGGAAGGGGAGGAAGAGGAGAAGGAGAAGAAGAGGAGGAGGAAGAGAAGGAGAAGAGGAGGAAAAATAGAGGAGAAGGAGGAGGAAGTTGAAATTATTGTTGAAATTGTTATTGTGGTTTTGGTAGTAGCAGTGATAGAGTAGAAGTATTTGGACCACAGAAATAATTCAATATATGGCAACAGTTGTAACTATAAAACCATTATATTTCTTCTAATACTGATTATATTCTGTGATTTTTCTCAATGAAAACCTCTAAAAGAGTAAGAAATGTAATCACTACCTTACTTAGTTAACTATAACCCCTCTGTACATCACTTTGACAATAAAATAAAAAAAAATTAAAAAGAAATAATTAAAAATAAATGGAAGTATCTCACAGACACAAAAAGACATCTTCTCTCTCCAGTTTCATTATTGGGAATAGATATGCCTTTAACCCTTTTCCCTACTCACTGAAGAAATTGTTTTTTTTTTTAAATTTATGGATATAGGAAATTGCTTTTGTTTCCCTTTGTACAGTAGCTATTTGAAAGCATACAGCTAACTATGAGATCTTTCTGCAGCAAGTAAACAGGGTGTCACAACAAGGAATTAACTGGTGATAATTTTTTCTTGGCTCCCTAACACCTTTGTTTTCTGTATTTCGGTATGCCACTGTCTGCATTGTAAGCCCCTTCGCAAGTAGTTGACAAACATTTCTCTGTTAGGAAGTGTACTGAGTGCCCAAAGACTGAAGATGGGCTTATGAAGCTGAGTCCAGTCACCAATGTGTGTCTGTGCTCTGCCTGGGGGTGTTGGGAGATCTCTTGCGGAAACTTGGAGGGAGAGAAGCACTGGAGAGACCCTAGCTGGATGAGCTTGGCGGAAACTCTGCAGTGTTGTGCTCTTTTTCTCCTACTCTTTTCCTAACTTTACACACCATTTCTTGTCACCTCAACTCTCTTGGGTTCAGTTTGTACAAATGGAAAATGGGAGAATGAAGATGACCCCGAGGGCTTTCTTAGCTCCCAGAGGGTCATGATTTCAAGCTGCTCATGCCTAAGAAGGTCCCTGAACTGCCTGATATTTGGATCCTCCTGACTGACAGTATCACTCTAATTTCACTGTGTGAACAAAGTTAGAGAGCCACAAGGTAAGGACAACAAAACAAATTCAGCCATAACCATTATGGTGGAAATGCCTACGAATTATAAAAACAAATAAACAAACAAAAAACAACAAAGAATTCTTTTAATTGAGTCAGATTTGCACACAATCAAACATGTCTCTTTTTTTTTTCTTCTTTTTTTTTTTTCTTTTGGTTGTGGGGCTTGAACTCTGGGCTTGGGCGCTGTCCCTCAGCTCTTCAGCTCAAGGCGAACTCTCTTCTGCTTGAGCCATAGCTCCACTTCCAGTTTTCTAGTGGATTATTGGAGGAAAGAGTCTCACGGACTTTCCTGTCCCAGCTGGCTTTGAACCGCCATCCTCAGCTCTCAGCCTCCTGCGTAGCTAGGATTACAGGTGTGAGCCACTGGCGCCCGGCCAAACATGTATCTTAAATCTTTAGTTCAGTGTTCAGTTTGACATCTGAACCCTTGTGTGTACTTATCACCACCAGATACAACAGAAATGTCTCTGCCATATCACCCAGCTCTAGTGGAACAATTCTCCATCATTCCCTTCCCTTTCCCACAGGCACACAGTGTTGTAAATCTGCTTCCATACATTTGTCCTGTCAGATCTTGATATTCGTATTTATGAACTTAGATGGGATTGTATCTGGCCACTTCTACGCACTGGAATATTTTTCATTCCTCTGTGTTTGCACTAGTGAGTAGTTACTTTCTGTGCATTGCTGAGCAGTATTCCAGTATGCCTATTTCACATTTAATTACTGTTCTGATGAGGCAAATCCAGGTTGTTTCCCATTTGTGGGTTGCTATGACTATGGCTCCCATGAATGATTTTGTGGACACATCTTTATTTCTCTTGGTCAATACCTAGATGTAATCACAGGTAAGGGTTATGTTTTGAAATCTGAGAAATTGAAGGACTTGTTGTGCAAACAAATAATGCAATTGTTACTTCCCATCAGTTATGGATGAAGGATGCATTGCTCCTCTGTCTCACTTGTGATTTGTATTTATTATGTTTTCTTTGTAATGGAATTATTTTAATGGTTGTTAAATGACTCTCATGGTAGTCTTAATTTGCATTTCTCTGACAATGAATGCTGGCCAGCTTTTTTCTTGCCCTCAAGCATATCTGTTCCCTTTAAGGTAAGAGCTTTTGCCCTTGTGTTTTGGAAGATGGAGTGTCTCTCAGAAAGGTCATATGTTCAAGGGTTGGTCTTCAGATGGGGGTACTTGTGAGCTAATTGGCTAGTGTAGGTGTTAACCTAATTGAATAATTAATTCACTGGTGACTTTATTGTTAGTATTATGAGGACCTTTGGTCCTCAGCTCCAGACTTGAGCCCCTCGCATCCTTGGAGTTCCTGCCCACACATCTGGTTGCTCCCTCTCTCTGCCCAGATCCACCTGGATTCCCATCCACTTCACTTCCGGACTCCTAGACCCCCTCCTGCTACCTGGAGGGTGACAGAGGCCATGTGCTCCCTCCCATGGGCTCCCTCTTGGGGGAAATATGCCTCCTTCAATAAACCTTATAATAATCTTTCTCCTGTACCTGCCTGCCTCTGTGTGGTCCCCTGGGATGGATATGTGGGACTCCTCATTCATAACAAAGGGAGGAAGTATGTCTTTGGGGACATGCATGTGAAGGATACATTTTGTCCCCTACCACTTCCTCTTTGTCCCTCTGTGCACCAGATCTCTGTTCTCTCTGCTATGATGCTTGTGCTCACCACAGGCCCACAGAGTTGGGGCCAAGCCAATATAGACTGAAACGGTTGAGTCCAAACAAGTCTTTCCCCTTCTAAGTTGATTTCTCTCTCAGGTATTTTGTCATGGTGGATGAAAGATAACACAGACAACTCCATATCAACATACTGTTGTTATGTAGAAATTATTTATATATTGTTGATACAAATTCTTTTCTGAGAATCCTTTCAGCCTTACTTATGTATTTTTAAATGATATTACTGATTAGTAGACATTGCTGATTATTTTGTTTGTTTTTTGCCAGTCATGGTGCCTGAACTTTGGGCCTGGACATTGTCCCTCAGCTCTTCAGCGCCAGGCTGTGCTCTACCACTTGACCTACAGCACCACTTCCAGGTTTTTCTGCTTATGTGGTGCTGAGGAATGGAACCCAGGACCTCATGCATGCAAGACAAGCACTCTTCCACTGAGCCACCTCCCCTGCCTGACATTGCTAATTTTGATGACATTCAATTTATTCATTTGTCTTACTTAGTGATTTTCATGTCCTATCTAAGATTCTTTTTTCATGTCCCAGAAGGGAAGGTAAGTAGTCTCCTATGTGCTTGAACTATTTATAGTTCTAGCTTTTTTGTTTAAGCTTATGATACATTGTGAATGTATTTGTATATAGAGTTAGATTAAGGAAAAAGCTGTTTGCTTCCCCGCTCCCCCTCTCATTCCCAGCAATTCCAACGACATTTATAGACATTTCTACTCATTGAATTAAATGTTTTGTTCAAAAATTAAGTGATTATAAATGTTTAGATCTATTAGCCTTTTTTCTGGTTTTTATTTACATCCTTCCATAAATATCACTCTCTCATGACTGTTATTGCCTTATTGCAAACCATCATATCAGTCTGTTTGCCAACTTCGTTCTTTCTCAAGATTGTTTTCACGAGGAAATTTCAAATAAATTTTGCATCCTGAAGGGTATTCTTTTTCCTTCTTTATTAAAGGTGAATTCTTTTGGTAAGAACCCTTCCACTGTCAGCAAAGGGCGGCCCTCTTCATTTTTCTTTGAGAATAGTACTACCACTACAACAATCTAGAAACACATCTACTTTGCCCCCAACCTTCATTTTTTCTTTTTCTTTTTGCTTATGTGGTGCTGAGGAATCGAACCCAGGGCCTCATCCATGCAAGGCAAGCACTCTACCACTGAGCTACCTTCCCATCCCCCTCTATTTTTTTTTTTTTTTTGAGGGGGAAACAATTTAAAGTCTCAGTTGCACAACCCAGCTGCCCTCTCACTATTCCTTTCTAATTCCCAGCTGCCAAGCAAGGTGGACCCTCCAGGGCTGACTGGAGAAAGGGGGATAATGACCCCTCACTCCCCGTGGGGGTCCTTCCTCTCCCCAGAGCTTCCCCTAAAATGAGAGGGGAAAGAAAACCGGGGTGGGGGATGGGGGACATTCCCACCTCCCTGCAGGGTGGCTTGGCCATCCCTCTGGGGGATTTGGGGACCTGACCCTCGCTGGGCAGACATCAATGGGGTACAGGCTGTCACCCTCCCCTGCCAGGGGGCGCAAACCCAAGATTTCCTGCTGCACCCAGCAGCCCCACCTTCCAGCCACTGTGGGAAACTTAGCTACAGGAACTGGTACCCCCCGCTGACCATGAGGGAAACCGCCCCTAAGCGGAAAACTTTTTACTGTTCAGAGCGCTCTGCACCCAAGCACCCCCGTCCTAGAGCAGCACCCCAGTTCCCACGATCGCTGGACTTCTGGCCCTGGAGATTCTCCTCTCTGCGCAGCGCCCCACCGGAGGCCTTCACTAGCCAGGGGGCTGCGGGAAGCTTTTTCTGTCCTTTGAATGTCCATGCCTCCCGTACCCCTTTCTCCTCCCTTGCTTTTCTGCCCCCATTTCCTTCACCTTAACTGCACTTCTGCCACGCCTAGCAGCCACACCCCTTCTTTCATCTGGTTTCAGTTTTCCCCAGGCCAGAGTTCACTGCCACCTGCATTCTGAATGCTTCTAGCAGCCTGGACCTAGGGTGAGAGTGGGACCACCGCCCTGGCCCCAGCCTGGGACACTCCTTGGAAGGTAAGGACAGAAGCCAACCCGATGGTGGCCTTTCCCACGGAGGGGGGTGGGGAGACAAAGAGAAGAGAGACAGAAGAGAGGAAGAGGAGGGAAAGGGAGAAAGAACATAGGGACAATCCAAGACAACCTCCTCCCAAGACGACCTCCTCACCCTCCCTAACAGAGGTGTCAAAGTTGAAAACATTTCCAGTTCTATTCCAGAGAAGTGAGAGGAACTAAAGTTAGGTGCTGAGGACAGTTGTCTTTATCAAGGGCTTACCTTGTATCTGACATTGTAAAAAGTGTCTTTTAAATGTCTTCTATTCATTTAATCCTCCCTGAGAACAAATGAAATGGGCAGTGTCATCCTACCTAATTAAAAGCGCTGTAACCCCTCTGCAAATCAACTCTCGTTTAGGGAAGGGAAGGGGAATAACAAAATGCTGAAACAAGGACACAGGATGACCCTTTGCAGCAATGATACCCACAAGACACTGTGTTGGAAATGGACTTTACAACTTGGTGGAGAGAGGGGAGGAGGAGTGGGGGAGGTGGGAGAGGGAAGGGATGGTAGGAGAAAAACAAAGGAGAGGGTAACAATGCTCAAGAGGAAATGTACTCATTACCTTACTCGTGCAACTCTAACCCCTCTGTACAGCATCTTTACCATAAAATAAAATAAAAAAATAGATTTTAAAATAGGGGCAAAAGCACTGGGACCAAAGCACAGAGAGGTTCTGTAATTGATTCAAGGATATCCAGCTCTTAAGAACTGGGTCTTACATTCTCACCTAAAATTCCTGGATTCCAGAATCTTTGCCTTTGATCTGGTGTTAGAATGAACAACAGGGATGCATCTTGATTCCAAAACAATTAGTGCCTAGACAATCCCAATCAGAAGTAGGGATCAGAAATCATTATTCATTTCACCTCCTTGTTGCCTTCTCCAACACATCCTGTACCATACATGGTGCTAAGATATGGGATCATCTCTCAGACTTAGAGTGCAATTGCATGGGTCCTGGGGGCTGTCTACAGCCAGGTCTCTGTAGGGTCTGGGAATGCCCATCCCACAGCACAAATAGTATACTGAGATTGAAATCAGCTGGAAAGGGCAGGGTATCTGCCTGTAGAGGCTTTTCTGGGGAGTGTAGTATTGGGTAATAGTACTTAGCAAGGTTTGCTGAGAAGGAATGAATGAGTCCTTGTTTACAAGGACTGTAGGATCCTGGGAGCAGGGAGACATGGGAGAATCGTTCTTGTGGCAGGATGGCACATGCAGAGGCAGACTGGGGTAAAACACAAGGCAAAGTGATATGTACAAATACATGGGTGATAATGACAACGAGGTGGCATTAGTGTTCCTGGCATTACAGATGGGAAACCAGATTCTACACAGACTCTTCATCTTAAAGCAGAAGTGCACGCGTGTAATCCAAGTTCATTTACTCTCTTTGCATTTCCTTCTTTTGTTTCTACATGGCCTCGCAGAGGAGTACAACACTGGATGTTGTAAGGAAAGACTCAAATGTACAAAAACCATGCCTCTAAGTTGGAGAGAGGGAGAATAAAGAGATTCACCGGCATTGATTTGTTTTCTCAAGAAAGTTTATCCTAGCAGGTGCTGCTGTGTCTGATGATTCTCCCCTATATTAACGAGCTAAGAAGTGGGAATCAGCTCAGGGAAACCAACTGGTAGCTAGGCTTGTGTGCCCCATTGAATCTTAAGTTCCTCATTAGAAAGTTTTGAAGTGGCCTGACATTCATCTGGACACTTGGAAAGGACTTGGGCAGTATTGCTTTTTGGGGCAGAAACTTGACTTTCTTGACTTTCTCTCTTTGTTACTAGGGTGTATGAGTTCTGCAAGAAAAACTTTTTTCCATTTAAAGGAAATTTCATACTAGGTAGATATTCTGACCTTGAGCTATGTCTCTAGTCTTTTTACTTTTCAGTTGCTCGTCAGGTAAATCTCTCATTTTTATTCAAACAGGGCTTGTAGCTGGGATGACAGACATGTCCTCTCATGCTCAGTTTGCTGGTTGAGATGGAGTTCACTAAATTATTACCACTGTTGGCCTTGAACCTTGATCCTGCTAATTAATTTCCACCTCATATTTGTGATTACAGGTGTGAGCCACTGTGCCCAGCTTTGTCACTGTTCGTTATATGTGGTATATACACATACATACACATACATGTATCTATACTTATTGTGTCTTGAATATTAAAAACATGAATATCTGCATAGTTAATATAATTATTAGTTAAATTATGTTAAGAGAGATGCGTTTAAATCGGTCAGAGCTTTGTGCTTTCTAGGGAGGCTGTCTACCATCAGAACCACAACCTCCTAGTCCTTTTGATTTTAGTTTATTTTTACTAATTTTACTTGGGCCAGCTGACTTATCAGATGAGGTCTCACTAACTTTTTGTCCTAGCTGGCCTCCAACAGTGACCTTCCTATCTCTGCCTCCAAAGGTGTGTGGCTCCACCCCTGGTCCCTAAATTCCTTTTCTATCTGCACACTAAGTTCTGAAGATTGGTGACTCCCTGCCTTGGCTGCACATTAAAAACAATGGGAAGATTGATTTATTTTTGACATTACTAGGATTTGATCTCAGCCCTTGCTAAGCAAGTGCCTACCTCCAGTCAGTAGGTAGTTTTGAGCAGATAGAGTGATCGCCAAATTAGACTGCCTTATTTATTTATTTTACAAGCCCTGGGTAAGAACTATCATCCTGGGTATTATGCTTTTTGTTAAGACATACTTGCAAAATTTATATAATAGAAGACCCTACAGTGCCAATATATCGCATGATGACTCCAAAGTATAATATATATATATATATATTAAATTGGATGCATTAATTAATTCAGCAAATGACAAACAAGCTAGCATACACAAAGTGAACATATGGCAGGTAATGATTGTCTTACAAAGAAAAGCAGAAGGAGACATGTATGAGTAGGTGTTTGTATGTGGCAAGTGTGATATGCTAGATTTTTCACAGGGTGCTTAGGGCAGACTAGTAGTGAGTTACAATCTGAGATGAACAAATTTGAAAAAAAAGATTAAACTATTTAATTAGTAAAGACTTAATTAGAAATAACTTGGTAATTAAATTAGTAAAGAATAATTACTAGATATTTAGGAAAGATAAGTCAAACTCGAACATGACAGTCAAACAAAGCAGTCAATTTTTATATTTTTAAGTTAAATGTAAAAAAAAGAAACAAGGCCAAAAAATGAAGAAAAGATTAATATTTATTTCACTGTTGAGAGAAAAGGAATGTTCTATACTTCCAAGTAACGGAAAAAAAAATTACAATGTAAGGGAATGATTTGTTTGATTGTACCAACATAATGTCCCCCCTGTATTAACTAACCAAAAGAGAAGTTAAAAACCAAACACGTTATAAAAAACAACTACAAGTTTGAAAACTGGGCAAATGGTATTGAAAAATGATTAATAAACATGGAAATCAGATGAACACTAATGTGTAATTAGTATTTGCTCATCTAATGCTATGTTTTTGTATCTCCACTATCTAGTTAGCTTTAAACCACGAGGGTGCTTTTCAGGTGTGGTGGAAACTGTCTTGCCCTGCTAGGTGAGAACAGGAAGTGCTGCAACAGCTCTGGAATGAGGTTCGGCAGTAAGTGTTTACCATGTTTAATATGTACTCGGCTCATCCACTGCCCTGTCCAGTGGTAACACCAAGAATTATTAAACAATATAAACAAATAATAATAGCTAATAGTAGCTACCCAGCTATTTTTGCTGCCTCTAATGATTGAATTCAAATCCTTGCACTTACTAGACAAATTCTGCCATTTAAGCCATGCCCCTGGCCCATTAGTTTTAGTTTTAGTTTTTCAGGTAGGTTCCCAGACTTTTACCTTGGACATAACAGGATTATAAGTGTCACCCTTCCTGATTTTTTGTGTGTGTGTGTGTGCCAGAAGTAGGGTTTGAACTCAGGGCTCTGTAGCTTTCCCTTGGCTTCTTTGTGTAAGGCTAAGTGCTCTACCACTTGAGCCATAGCTCAACTTGTAGCTTTTTGGTGGTTCATTGGAGATAAGAGTTTCATGGCCTTTCCTGCCTGGGCCAGCTTTGAAATTAAAAACCATAGATCTCAAGCTCCAGAGGAGCTGGGATTATAAGCTTGAGCCATTACTGGCTTCTAGCCCAGATTGATTTTTGTCTTAGATAGGTTCATGCTAACTTTTCTCTCCAAGCTGTTCTTGAACCTTGATTCTCTCATTTCCACTTTCTTATTCCTTATGGGAGTAAGCCATTTAAATTTAAATCAATAGATAATTATCAGTAGATAATTTAAATGGTTCTACACATAGTTTTCAACAACCTGAAATCTTTCTATCAGCTCTAGAGAGAGGATGGTTACTCCCTTAAACGGTTAACAAAATTGAGGAACAAAGATAGTGTAAATGTCTTGCCCAAGATTGTTCAGGAAAAAATGGAGATTCACATCCAGCTAGACAGGTATCCCTGAAAACTGATCCTACATAGTCTATTTTGAAAATGGTCTTATATGTTAATGAAGAAATCCTAGGTGCCAATCAAAATGGTATTTAAAAAAGAAAAGTGTGGTACAAGAAAATTCTCCTTATATATAGTGAGACTGAAAGACATGAACTTAAACCTTTGTTTGAAAATATAAAGAAAAAATACTGTAAATCATGCTAAAATATGTTCAGATTTTCTTCTTTTGGTCCGTATCCATGTCATCCATCTCTTAATTTTGACACATAAAACCTAGTAAGTACATTAAAAATTTAGTGTATATATACCATTGCACACAGAGTTATTTTTACACACTAGGCTTTTTGTATGTTTTATGTTGAAACACACAATTTACTATATTGCTAGATAATATCAAACTCCTGTGTGGACTCTGAAAATGTAAAAGCTGCTATCAACTTGGAGTGATTTACAAGGGCCTGCCAGTCTAGAGGAGAAAAGCGGCATGAAGGAAACAATACTTCTTAAGGTTAAATGAATAGACAGAGTTAATAATGAAATGTGTGTGAGTGGGAGGTGGGAAGTTTGAAGACATAGAAGCTTCTGATATGAGCACTTGGTACTTTCCATGCATAATTATTCCTTTATCTTTATCAATATTATCTCTTGGAAACTCCACAAGACATTTAGCGATGGCTTTTACGAGGTTGGAATAAATGGTTTATGGCTTCATTACTCAACCTTTTCCAGGATCTAAGAATGAATGGCTATTTTTGCTTTTAGCATGTGAGGCAAGTATCAGTTGGTAGGAGAACTGCTCTGGGTTGAGAGATTGTTCCTAGATGTCTTTGCAAATATAGAATGTTCTCATCATGCAATAATTCTCAAAGAAGCCTTTTCATCTTTTACCTTATCATGGTATCTGAGACATCAGTAACTAGACTGAGTTTGCACAGATCCTCAGGGCTGTTAAACTCTAAGGTCAGTTGGGGCTGTCCCTATAACCAAGCTCTTGATGTCCACTGAGTTTACTCTGCCAAAATTCAGAGGCCCTAGGATGGATACAGTGAGATTTGGGAGAAGTAAGAGATATGGGAATACTTATGAAATAGTTGGATGGAATGAATGGCCTCCCCAGGAGAAGAGCCTTCCCCGATTCTGCTCTCTAAATCTTTTAAGTGTGAAGTTGACGGCTAGATTGTCCCAAGGTCAAAGCTCAAGGCATACCTAGGTCACACAGGGTCCAGGTCAGTGTAAAGGAGAATCCTGAGTGTAGAGGCCTGTCACTTAATGCTTCTCATGTTCCTGAATCAATACATCTGGGTAAGTGAGTGCAGAAACATCCTTTTCTTCAGTAATACGTATCAAGGAGAGCTTACTGGGTTTTAGCTGTTGTGCCAGATGTTAGAGATGAGCAAAGTTCTTAGCCTTCTGAAACTTGGGTTCCATAGGAAGGAAGACTTTCAAAAATTCAACAGAAAGTGAAGACCTAATTGTAAATCATAATGAACAGTTGGGGGTAGTATAAATACTAAATGTCCCCCAAAGGACCATGTGTTAGAAGACTTAGAAGATAGTCACAGTAGTGGTATTGGGGGATAGTACAACCTTCAAGAAGTAGGGTCTTTGCAGCACCCAACCTGTGAATCCAAGCCCCATGACTGGCAAAAAGAAAAAAGCAAAAACGTAGGGAGGTATTTAGATCATTGGGGTGATAGCTTTGAAGGGCTAGAGGGACTGTAGCCCTTTTTACTTTCTTTGGCAACACTCAAGGGATGAGTAATTTTGCATTGCCCCATATCCCTGCTCTGTGCCTCATCATAGGCCCCAAAGAAACAATGTTAACTAGTTGTAGACAGAAGCTTCTAGAACTGTGAGCCAAAGTAAACTCTGACTCTTTGTCAGTTGATTATTTGAGGTACTTGTTATAGTGACAAAGAGGTCACCAATATATGCTGGTGTGTGCCCCTCTCCCCATACTTCTACCTAGCTGAACTTCTGTACGTATCTTGATATATCATAGATTGCTTATCCCTAGAGTAGTAGTAGATTTTGTTACCTGTTTTTGTTAATTTGTTTTGTTTTGGTGCTGGTCCTGGGGCTTGAATTCAGGACCTAGGTACTATCCTAAGCCTTTTTGCTTAAAGCTATGCTCTTCCATATGAACCATAGCTCCATTTCTAGCTTTTTTTTTTTTTGGCAGCTTATTGGAGATAGGAATCTCACTAACTTTCCCTTCTGGGTTAGCATTGAATCACAATCCTCAGCGCTCAGCCTCCTGAGTAGATAGGATTACAAGAGTGAGCTTTTATCTGGCTGGTTTTCTGACTTTTAACTTTTACCTTGGAGGTTAGATTTGATAGGCCAAGGCTAAAAGACATTAGGCTCTGTTGTATTAGAAATTGCGTTGTTAAATATTTCTTCTAGAAGGCAAATTCATTGCCTTGAAACTATCAATACTATGTGACTGAAAGTTTGGACAATTGGTGACTCTTTTAAAAGATGAGAATCTTCTGGATGATATCTTAAAATTGTGTTCTAGAAAATGTTTTCCCACATTTCCTTCCTGAGATAAGATGTTTCTGTGTGAAGGCTTTAGCCTAACATGTCTCATTCTGTTTTCCAGAGAAAGCATTTGAAGACGAACCACAGCCATGCTTGGCAGAGAATTATTCTTGACACTTTTGATTCTTAGAATTAAAAACAATGCAGGTGAGTATTATGATTTGTCATGAGCATTTCATTAGTATCAGGGGTGTAGTGTTTTATGTGGAGGTGGTTACCTAAGATACTGAATTTAGAATTTAGTGATATAGAAAGCAGAACAACAATTTGATATCCATGGCATACAGAATGAACAAAATCTTAGGAAGGGAATGAAATAAAGAAAATGCAAATGATAATGTTGAAATAGAAAAGATATACTCCAAATTTATGTAGATACAGGGTATAAAATTTGGTGTTTTGAAATAAATTATATTTGACAAGAAAATTACCTTCATGTAGCCAGGTGCCAGTGGTTCATGCCTGTAATCCTAGCTACTCAGAAGGCTGAGACCTGAGGATCATGATTCAAAACTAGCTGGGGCAGGAAAGTCTGTGAGACTCTTATCTCCAATAAACCACTAGAAAACTGGAAGTGGCACTGTGGCTCAAGCGGTAGAGAGTTCGCCTTGAGCTGAAGAGCACAGAGAGAGTGCCCAAGCCCAGATTTAAAGCCCCAGGATGGACAAAAAAAAAAAAGAAAAAAAGAAAGTTAGCTTCATGTTATTTGTAACTGAGGTGGAAACAACTACCTTTGTTTTTGGTTTTTAGTAAGTTTTAAATATTCATTCTCTTTCTTATAAGGAAATCGAATTTTTGTCATATTTTCAGTAGTTTAAGGAAAAGAAATAGAAAACATGGCTCTTAAAACAGCAATTCCTACAAAATTATCAAGGGTGAGGGAAAGTGTCAATGTTGAAAGGAGTGACACTGATCAAGATGCATTGTATTCATAAACTTCTTCATTAGATGGCAACTCCTTTGTACAATTATTCAAAGATAACATACACACACACACACACACACACACACACACACACACACACACACATACATATATATATAGTTGGCTGTGGGGCTTGAACTCTGGGCCCAGGCACTGTCTCTAAGCTCTTCAGCTCAAGGCAAGTGCTCTACCACTTGAGCCACAGTGCCACTTTTGTTTTCTGGGTAGTTTATTGGAGATAAGAGTCTCACAGACTTTCTTGCCCAGGCTGGCTTTGAACTGAGATCCTCAGATCTCAGCCTCTTGAGTAGCTAGGTTTACAAGCATGAGCCACCAGTGCCAGGCTAACAAAAATATTTTGAAACATTATAAACAACACACATGTGGCTGGAGGTATGTCTCAGGTGGCATAGCACTTGTCTAGTAAGTAAGAGGGCCTGAGTTCCAAGATTCAGAACAAGCAATAAAAACTAATTAATTCAAAAAAAGCATTGGGACTAATTAAAAAGAATACACAGAAAGAGGCTGCTTAGAGGTAGACTTTCAGAAGGTCTCAAAGCAGGAATTGTTTGGAGATTTTTGTTTCCCATTGATGAGAATTCAGAAGCCCCATTCTTTGGAGAATTTGTTGAATAGCAAGGTTTTCCTAGACCGTGAATGAGGAAGTAGGAATGTAATGTATGATTTTCTTTGGTTTGTTATCTAAGAGAGTAAACACTGGAGCCCATAGCACTTACATTGGGAAGTTCTGCTGAAGATATAGCAGAATTAAGCTATTCATACTATCAAATAATACACATCCAGTTTGGAGGTATGGTTACTTCAATGGATCATGTATTCTTCCCAGAGTACTACTCAGTAGTAGCCAAATATTAAAGAATAAAGCAGATCTTCTTTTCTTGATGTGAAGCGATTTGTCAGAAATGTCTGAGGTAGGTGCAGAAAGATGTGTCTTATGGGTCCCATGTTTCCTGGATATACACCAAATACCTTGCTTCTTCTTACCATGGAAGTAAGTTTCAGGCACAAAACTAGGGGTACAGGTTTTGTGTAAGTTTTGCTAAGTTCTAGCTCCCTGTTCTTTCAGACACTTGGAAAACATCATTCTCTGTGGGATTGACCCAATTTAGCTAAAGTTAGATAACAACAGCCTATATTTGTCCTAACTCAAGACAACTTGAAACACTGACTTTATTCTGAAGGAATGTAGTTTCTTGTATGACTGGATTTTTTTCTTAATTTTTACTTTATTTTATTGTGAAGGTGCTGTACAGAGGACTTACAGGTACATAAGCAAGGAAATTTATCCATGCCTATGTTTTTCTCCCACTATCCCTTCCCTCCACCACTATTGCCCCTGACCCTGAAATTGTAAAGTTCATTTCCAACATGATGTCTTGTGAGTATCATCCTTTGTCCTTGTTTCACCATTTTGGCATTCCCCTTCCCTTCTCCAAACCGATAAATATATATACAAGACACAGTGTACCACAACCAAAGACAGTGATTGTCAGAGATAAGCCAAAGGAAAAAGAAAATGAAATAAAATAAGAACTCAATATAATACATTGATGACAACAAGGTCAACAACCAAAAAAAAAGACCTGCTGTTTCCATGTCTTGGAGTTCATTTCAATTAGCATCATTTTATATGGTCAAATGTACATAGCTATTGAGCTATTATGATCCTCTGCTAGGACTGTCCTAGACATATACTAATTATTACAAATGAGGGAAACCATAGAGTCTGTGTTTCTTTGGATCTGGCTTACTTCACTTTCTATGATTACACCTCACCTCAGTTAGAATGACCATTATCAAGAAAACAAATAATAACAGATACTGGCAGGCTTGTGGCCAAAAGAGAACACTACTACACTGTTGGTGGGAATGTAAGCTGGTTCAACCACTCTGGAAAGCAGTATGGAGATTCCTCTAAAGATTAAACATAGAGATCCCCTATGACCCAGCAGTCCCACTCCTGGGCATTTATCACAAGCAAGGCCACACTAAAGCTACCAGCACAACCATGTTTATTGCAGTATTATTTACCATAGCTAAGATGTGGAACCAACCCAGATGCTCCTCAGTAGATAATGGATCAAAAAAATGTGGTATATATACACAATGGAATTCTATTCTTCCATCAGAAAGAATGATATTGCCCCATTCATAAGGAAATGGAATGACTGGGTTTTTATACTTTACTCATGGAAGAATGTGAATGTCTGTTCTGACAGTTTGAACTCCACATAATTTGAACTCTACTCATGTCTATAACCAACGATCATTACTAACAAACATTGGGTTAATCAAGTCAAATATGTAATGTTAAATACACATAAAGTTAGATGCCTAAAGCCATTAGCCTTCAACTGCTCACTCTCACCCTATTCCACATTAGACTCTTCCAATGTCAAATTGTCACCCAAGAGAAATGGATGGGTATATTCACCAAGGTTAGATTAAAGGTTTGATCCTAAAACTATGAGCTTTCAATTGCTCACCATCCACCCTTGTAGAGTATATATTTCACACAAGGTTCTTCAGATGATAAATTATAACTATCTCCAAATAGAAATGCATGTGTATATTCACCAAAGTACAAAGCACACATAAAATCATTCTTCCATATAACTTATATAAACTAATACAAAAACAACACTCACAAGCACATATGTTTGTACAAGATTTTTTCAAAGTTTGTCAAAGTTTAGAAACCTAGAAAAAAGTCCAAATTTCCAATAGACCATTCTTCAAGCATCCATGTACCCAATATATCTATTTTATAGAACAAACAGGAGCACAGTTAGATATTGAATAGTAAGGAGACATGTCCCATTCCTGCTACATGTAGAAACATGTCTATTAAAGACATAAGTATAGTGCTGGTGTAAAAACAGTCAGATATGTTTTATGTTGTATAATTTCGTTGCTTCATTAGTGCACTTCTCTAAAATAGGAAAATAAATGAATTGTGAATGACAATTATAATCAATGTTCACATATACACATATATTAGCTCTCTGTGTTGCAGCATTGAACAGCAAATTGGAGATTATGTGACAACCACAAACATCATGTTTATGTTCCTAAACTCTTGCCCTTTGAAGTGGATTTGACATCTATGGCTTCAGAGCTTTCTTCAGACTTGAGAGTGCATTTATTTCTTCCTCAGGCTGTAGTTAGTAATGTGAATTTTAAACCAGATGACTGCTTTGAGAAATAAACCTCAAGAAAGACAGAAAACTTTGCCTTGTGTTCAGAGAAATTCAGTTCTCTACATGCCACTAAAGGGTACCCCACCAATAGAGTATGAGAAAGGTCCTTTAAGGCCAGCCTTCAACTAGGAAAAAAAATGTACCAGGTGTGGAATGGTGACTAGGTCAATTTCCAAATCCAGAGCAATTAGGCTAATTAAGAGGGAGGGGAAAAGAAAAAAAAAAAACAGGAGCAAGATGGGAAGTGACAGGTACCTGGATTTGGACTGATACCGAATCAATCAATTCTTGATGATTCATTGGTAACCTACAGCAGATTCTTAGATTCTGGGGTGCCCTTAGCTTTCTGCAGGCAAAATATTAGGTAAGCTGGTTGGGCACAAGGTAAGTCAGATTTCTGAACAAGCAAAGAAAGAGTTCCATGGCTTCTTGTCTTCTTTTCCATGGAGACTTCTTAGCTGGGGAAATTTGGAGGTAGGTGTGACAAGTGTAACGTATCTGATTTTCCTTATCAAGAAATTGTTATTTTTCATAATTTCTATTAAAAGACAGTAGTATATATTATATGTCTTTGGGATTTTTTTCTTGTTTAGAGGAAGATTATCAGTTATCAAAATTTGTGGGCTTGAACTCAGGGATTTTTGCTTTCACTTGGCTAACAGCTGGTGCTCTACCACTTGAGCCACACCTCCAGTCTGATTTTCTGCTGGTCAATTAGAGATGGAGTCTTGCAGACTTTTCTGTCTAGGCTGGCTTTGAACCAACGTCCTTTCAATCTGAGCCTCCTGAGTAGCTAGGATTACAGGTGAGAATACAGAGCTCTGCCTAAGATGGTCTTATCTCTCCTAGTGTTGGAAGCCTGACCATGGATGTTCAAATAAGAGAATTTCTTGCAGTGTGCTGCTGAGATTTCTCAGGGATTTCTTGTTCTCCTAGATTTTTTTCACTTGATGCATTAACTGGGAAAAATATTTTTATAACTTTTTCCTTTTTCTTCTTGCTAAAATTTAGTAGAATCTTGCCATTTTCAAAACAACATTAGTGCAGTAGAAGAGGAACCTTTTTATCTGAAATACTGCTTGTCTTCATCTGCTCATGGGAATGAAGCAGCCACCATAAAATGGTCCAAATTCAACGAATCACTTGGATGGGTAGAACTGAACCCCAGACCTTCTCCCAGAATTACTTTGCATGATTATGCTTTGGAGTTTTGGCCTGTGGAGTTAAATGACCAAGGACGCTACCTTTTCCAAATGGGGTGAGTGTACCTTTGGGTTTTGGTATATTTCCTCGCATTCAAATACATAGTAATCTGAAGGTTGGATAATTTATGTATTTTTCCATATGTATATTTCATTATGAAAAAATAATCTCCTTAACTATTTTCTTCATGATCTTACTGAAAGTCATCTATCTCTCTAAGATTTGTTCTTAGAGGATCCCTGCTAATGAAACGTGAATGAAAATCAGTTTTAAAATTCAGCATCTTCTGAAGTCTGAATGTCTGGGTTGCATGAATTCAGTGGGTGAAACTTCAAGTGATATGGATGTGGAGAGAAGGATGGCCAGGGTTATTTTCCCACTTGCCAGCCTCAGGCTGTGGAGAAGGGGCAGGGTTGACATATAAAGCACTCAAGTCTAGTTTTCAGGGACCATTGGGAACCAAGTACCAGTGCTGGCTGAGGATGGGCTTGGAACCAGGCACAATGGATAGCTCTGGATTAGTGAGGGGGGCGGTGAGTGTTCAAGAACTGGTGTTCCAGCCCTAGAGATGTATGCCAGGAGAGTCATAATCAAGAATAATACTTTCTGTGAAATAAGAACAACCAGTTGAATGTGTCAACCACTATAGTAAACTTGGATCTCTGTATAGGAATCCATATTGATCTATCTTCAATCGGTCTGTTTACAAAGGTTCATGTACATGTTTTATACACAATGCATGGATTTGTATAAAAATTTGAGACTGACCTGTTAGAAACTAGCCCAGGGCTAGTTTGGGTGGTATCATTGTGTTGCCACATGTAGCAAGTTTCTTCTAGAAATCTCACCCTTCACTGTAGTGAGTCCTGATCATTATCAACCTTGCCTTTGAGGACAGAGTGAGAGATAGCACATTGAAACCTCCGTATCACACCTGTGGGTTTTGTCCTAAATGAAGTCATGCTTGTTTTTATACATAGAAACTCCCAAGAATCAAAAATTGTGAAGCTCCCTTTTCAGAACCAATATGCTCTTTATGACCTTTAAAGAGCGATAGAAAAATTTTTCCCAGCTAGGACTTTTCATAGCAAGTTACGGAGGAAGGAAGCCAGTAAAAAGAGCAGGAGGAGAACAACAAATATCACCCCCTTCACAATGCTGATTGGTTAAACAAAGACGTGACTTAAAAACACCAAGTCGTATGGACAGGGATGAAAGAAGACATTGTGGCAAAGAGGCAGTACCTATGATCATTTCTTGGAGAAGAAAGAGACACTTCTGTTGTTCTGATATGAAGGATGGAGAATAGAGCTTGTTACTGGAAACAAAAATGAGGCCATCAGAATGAGGCTGGGGGACAGAGAGGCATAAAAATATAGGTAATAGATAGAGGGGACCAGGAAAACAATGAGGTGCAGATTGGCCTTGATGACAAATTCTGAAGGCTGTTGGAGATGATGAATGATAGGAGAGCAAAGGAGTGGGAGGCGTGGCTTGGACATTGGCTTTATCAGTGAGCCTGGGAGCAGGCTGTTGTGGTCACTTAGCAGCATGGAAGATACAGAGATCATCCAATAGCAAGAGATTAGCAAGCAGCATCTAACATTTCCTACAGATATGTGTATGCACATGCATGTGTGTGTGTGTGTGTGTGAGAGAGAGAGAGAGAGAGACAGAGAGAGAGAGAGAGAGAGAGAGAGAGAGAGAGAGAGGAAGGGAAGGAAAGAGAGAGAGATGACTCAGGCGTGTAAGCCTTTGTAGTTTGCTGTGAAAATTGTTAATGCTTAGAACCTTTGCCTGGTACTATAAGATTGAAACTGTAGTCCTTTAATATTTTTAGGAATTATTGCTAGTAATCAAATGCCCCTGGGGACTGATCATTTATTCCTATAGTAACACCCATATTGTCCTATTACATTTTTACAAAGAAATCAACTAAGAAAGAAAGGGATATAGAAGCATTTTGATGACAGAGATAATGGAAAGAAGGTAGCAAGAACACAGGCAGAAGATGAATTATTAGACCTCTGGCTGATGAGCAGCAAGTTTGGCTTTGCAAGTGTCCTCAGATGAGAGTCAGTTAGAGCAGTGTGTGTGTGTGTGTGTGTGTGTGTGTGTGTGTGTGTGTGTGTGTGTGTGTGTGTGTGTGTGTGTGTGTGTGTGTGCTGGAGATCAAACCCAGGGTCCTGCACATACTAAGCAAGCATTTCTACACTGAACTACCACCCCAGGCTTTAAAACTTGCTGTTTAAAGGGACCCTCATAACAGATTGGAATTGGTGGCCACAGGTAGGAGGGAATGATGTCTATGTATGTGGAAGGGGTTAGGGTGTCATAGCTTTGGGCCACTTGGTTTCAGCTTCACACCAGCCACTAGCTATTTGATAGCACTATCCTGTTTAGCTTGTGTCTACATTCACAGGAAAGTGTCCCATGTAAGGTGGGGATTCTACCTGTCAGCATTTGCTGAGTGTTAGGACCTATGGATCAAGAGCTTTGCGATTTGACAAGTTGAGAATATGCATGCAGCCTATTTCTTGTAACCCTCTTCTGAAATGGCTCTCTCCAGATCAGGAACCTAGGAAAAGTTTACAAACACACTTAAGAGGAAGATGCTCTTTCAAGATCTAGATATCTCACCTATGTATCCATGTGAGTAGTCTGTGCTTTCTCTAGCCTTAACTAGTCTTACAAAAATTCATGCCCCAGACTCTATGGACTCTGTCCAAAGAACACTTGCTCCTTGGAAGTCAAACTGTGGTGCATTTATATCCTGACTCTATCCCACAACAGGTGTGTGACTCTGGTCAAATTGTAGAATCTCTCAGGGATATAACTTTCTCTGTGTGCATGTATGTGTATACATGTATATGCATATGTGTGTATATAAGAGATCTCCCTTACATGTATCTACTAAAACATCTGGAATAACCTTTTCTTTTGTCTAGCAGTTGCATGCTTAAAAGGTAGCTGGGAGAGCCCAAAGTGGGCACACATCTATTAAGCAATATGTATCAGTGGTAGTTTAGGTATGGATCTCTGTACCATATGAACAGTATAAGCAAAACATCCAATTGTGATAATTTTCTCTTTCATAACAAATATTACACCTTTAAAAAGTATTACTATTTTCTCTACCCTTTGATTACTCATTTTTCATCAGAAGGATTATCAACTGCAAAATCCCTTCACACTTACTTTTGTCCAGCCAAGGATACAATACAATTGTGCTAGGAGTTGTGTGGTGGGATTGATGCCCTGAGACATGAGCACAGGCATACCCATTCAGAGGACAATGTCAGGAAGGCTTGTATACCTTGTGAAATCAGGGATACTTTCTTGTCTTGGTCTTAGAATCATCAAAGACATGATCTACGGCTTGCAAAATGTGTGCATGCCTGTGTTCATGCCTATGTTTGTGTGCCTATGCATGTGAATGCATGCGTTAGACAGCTCAGATTTTAACTTTGACTTCATGACAGATGTTAAATTTCCTCATACTCAAAAAAGGGGAGTCAGAGCAGGGTTGTGACTGAAGATTGATTAACTAAAGAAGTCAATCATGAATCAGTCTCTAAGTAGAAATTGGGAAGCAGCTGGGCATAGTAGCTGATACCGATAATCCTAGTTACTCGGGAGGCTGAGAGCTAAGGATCATAGTTCAAAGCTAGCCTGAGTAGAAAAGTCTGTAAAATTCTTTTCTTTTTTTTTTTGGGTCCAGTCGTAGGGCCTGAACTCTGGGCCTGGGCACTGTCCCTCAGCTCTTCAGCTCAAGGCTAGTGCTCTACCACTTGAGCCACAGCACCTCTTCCGGCTTTTTTCTTTTTGCTTATGTGGTGCTGAGGATCGAACCCAGGGCCTTGAGCATGCAAGGCAAGCTCTCTACCACTGAGCCACCTTCCGAGCCCCTCTGTAAGATTCTTATCTCCAATTAGCTACCAAAAAAAGAGCCAGAATTGGGGCTGTGTCTCAAATGGTAGAGCATTAGTCTTCAGCAGAGAAGCTGAAGGTAAGTGCTTAGGTCCTGAGTTCAAATATTGGTACCTGTGTCCAAGAGTACACATGTGCACACATACACACGCTACAATTAGGAAAAATATTCTTTTGACTTAGTTTCTATAAGGAAAATGGGAGAGAGGTGCAAAGTTTCGGTAGTAATTACAAAATACATCTACATTTTTGCTTTATAGAAATTCTACTCAGGAATGGGAATTAAAGGTCACCAAAAGAAACAAACACAGCTGTTTTAGTGAAAAACAGGTGACCAGCAAAAGCGTGACAGTTAAAAAATCTTTCCAGATTAACTGTTCTAAAAATTACTATGAAAAGTGGATCAACCGAACATCATTATATAAGGTAACCTTCTTTTAAATGTTTCAACTTAAGACTTGTTAGTAATCAGTGTCATGCCTTTATCTTCCATACTCAGGAAGTTGAGATCTGAGGATCATAGCTCAAAGCCTGCCCAGGAAGAAAAGTCTGTGAGTCTCTTATCTCCAATTAACCATTAAAAAAGCCAAAAGTGCAGCAGAAAGTAGAGTGACAGCTTTGAGCAAAAAACTTAAAGGACAGTGCCCAGGCCCTGAGTTCAAGCCCTCATACTGGCATATACACATTCAATAAAACCACCTGATAGAAAAGGTGAAATTACAAAGTAAAAATCTAAACCAAAGTGGTTGTGGAGTTGTGAATGATATTTATATTATTCATTTTTTACCTCAAACTGTATAGAATGAACTCATATATACAGGGAAAATATATGCTGTCAAGTTTTTAATTTTAAGAATATATGACAAAAGAAAATAACAAATCTGAAACTAGCACTGTCCAAAATTAGTTCATTTTGGGTTTGTATGTAAACATCTGCACTTAAAAGTTGTTTATTTTGGTTGCTGCCTTTCTTTATCCACTAAAAATTAAATGTGATTATTCTTCTACATCATTAAACATTTTCTTTATTTGATGTACTTGGGATTGAATCCAAGATCTCAATGTTTATTATAGAAAGCAGTCTACCACTTAAGTTTTTCCCCCAGACCTTTTCTTCATTTGGTTTATGACATAGGGTCTCACTAACTGGCCTCAAACTCATGGTCCTTCTGTATCTACCTCCCAAGTAGCTTTTTCTTTCTTTCTTTTTTTATATTTTTTATTGTAAAAATAAGCGTACAGAGGGGTTACAGTTACATGAGTAAGATAATGAGTACATTTCCTATGGAGCATTGTTAACCTCCTCCTTTGATTTTCCTCTACCATCCCTTCCCTCCCAACCTCCCCATATCCTCCCTTCCCCCCTCCCAAGTTGTAAAGTTTATTTTCAACATAGTGTCTTGTACATCTCATTGTTACAATGGTTCAACCTCTATGCTTGTTTCAGCATTTTGTTATTTCCCTTCCCCTCCCCAAATTAGAAAAATGTATATACAAGATGCAGGGCACCAACATCAAATACAATGAAAACAGGGACTTGAACTCGTGGCTTGTGTTGTATCCCTGAGTTTCTTTTGCTCAAGGCTCTTTCACTTAATCCACAGATCTACTTCTGGCTTGTTTTGTTTTGTTTTGTTTTTGGTAATTTATTGGAAATAAGAATCTTATGGGTTTTCCTGCCCCGGCTGGCTTTGAACTGAGATCTTCAGATCTCAGCCTCCTGAGTAGCTAAGATTATAGATGTGAGCTACCAGTGCCCGGCCACACCTGGTTCTTTAAACATTTTTACACACGGGATTTTATTTTGTATGGCCTGGTTTTATCTAACTGGTTATTAGACTCTTGTGACATGTTTCATATTTTTCACTGTTATTTAAACACTGGTCGTGGGGCCTGAACTCTGGGCCTGGGCGCTGTCCCTCAGCTTGTCAGCTCAAAGCTAGCCCTCTACCATTTGAGCCACAGTGCCACTTCTGGCTTTTTCTGCTTATGTGGTGCTGAGGAATTGAATGCAGAGCCTCATACATGCAAGGCATGCACTCTACCACTGAGCCACCTTCACAGCTCCAAAAATATTTTCTTAAGTCTTTGGATGCTTACGTGACTTTCCTTTAGCCAAGTCTCTTAATGCATAATTACTGGATCAAAGGCTAATCAAGTTTTCATTTTTGATCTGCATTGTCAAACTAGTCTCCAGGGACCTATGCTAGAGATAACACCTCCAAAACTGTTATAAGAATCCTTCTTGCTAGACACCAGTGATTCACACCTATGATTCTATATACTTAGTAGACTAAGATCTAGGGGATCAAAGTTTAAAGCCATTTTGAGTCAGTAAAGTCTAAAAGAATCTATCTCTGAAATAACCAGCAAAAAGCCAGGATAGAGGCATGGCTCAAGAGGTAAAGTACCAGCTGCAAAAGCAAGCCAAGCAGCCAAGTCCCTGAGTTTAAGCCATGATAGGTACCTCCAAAAAACCAAAAACGAGATCCAAAGCAAAAAAAGAAAAAAAAAAGAATTTCTCTTTCTCATAATTTCCCAAGACTTGGAAATGATACTTTTTTAGAATGTTAAAAATCTGACTTGGAAAATTCCTGAGCTCTTAATGTTTTTTCTTCTCATTATAGCCTAAATAAATTGACTTTTAAATGTATTTATTGCATTTTACTATTGTCTTTTGTAAATTACCAGGGTATTTTCTCTGTTTTCCTCAGTTGATGTACCTTTTCCTTGTAGGAGAATAAGAGCTCTTTTAAATAAGGCTTTGGAAATGATATATCCATGCTTGTGGTGTGTGTGTGTGTGTGTATAGTGTATGTATAAAAATATATGTTATGTCGGGGGCTGGGAAGGTGGCTCAGTGGTAGAGCGCTTGCCTTGCATGCATGAGGCCCTGGGTTCGATTCCTCAGCACCACATAAGCAAAAAGAAAAAAGCCAGAAGTGGCTCTGTGGCTCAAGTGATAGAGCGCTAGCCTTGAACTGAAGAGCTGAGGGACAGCGCCCGGGCCCAGAGTTCAGGCCCCACGACCGAACCAAAAAAAAAAAAAAGTATGGTATGATCATGTATGTATGGTATGGTCTTGGGCATGCACGACACAGTATCATTTATGTGGAAGAATGAACCTGACAAATGACTCCATCATGAAAACCTTGAAGAGCCAGGAGAGTGGCCTGCACAGAAGAACCTAGTAAAGTTGAAGTAACTAACAAGGATGTCTTTGACATTTTTCTGCTTGAACTGCTTGAACACTGTTTAACTTGTGACTTTTCTCATTTGAAATGTGTCAACATGTGAATCAGTCCTGAGTTGACTTACCTCATTTCCTGTCAGAGGTTCACATGCTACAGTACAGGTAATTTGTGAGGTTCAGTATACTGGGTTTTAGGAGGTCTCCATACACAGATGTCTAAATTTAGAGGATGGGTGTCTTGAGGATGCTTGTAGCTAAACAATTGACCGCAAAGCTAAGTATGCTCAGCTTGTGGATTGAACATGACTGCCCTAATGAGAGGAACTCACGCCACCTGAATCAGCAAAGTATTGATGGGAAATGGAAATGGAGAGTCTCTGGCATTTTATATACTTTGGAGGAACTTGGAGGCTTATATATTAATGGGAACACATGTGGAGACTGTGAAAGTCTATTCTAGACACTGCCTAGGTCTAGCTCCAGGGCCACCACTTTAGGACAGGTCTGAAAGCACTAGGTCCTCTTCATTTAGTAAAGGGACATATCATGTGGTAAGGGCAGGCACCCAGCTCCCATTTAGCTATCATTCCTGGATTACCTAGACTGATGGCTGGATGATGATGATGATTGATTACAGGAATACATATTGAAATTGAGAGAGAGACAGAGACAGAGAGACAGAGGGACAGAGACAGAGAGAGGCCAAGATATATATAGAGAGACAGAGATTGAGTATACTTATGGATTTGAATATTCGCCATATATTCCTGGTTCATCTTCTGCCTTCTGGTTCAAGACATCAAAGAATGGGGAGATGTTGGTTGCTACTAGCACATCTCTGATTGTGTTCCTACCCCTGTTACCTGTCTCTAGAATGGACACTAGTGAGTGTGCTGAATTAGACTGAAAGTGTTAGGAGAATAACATTGTGTTGTGAATAAACTTTTGACCCTAAGATGCTGCTGTTGCTTCTCCTTTCTTCCTCCCCTTTTCTTTTTCCTCCTCCTTCTTTCTCCTCCTCCTTTCCCTCCTTTCTTCTTCCTTCCTCTCTGTCTCTGTCTCTTTCCCTCCATCTTTCTGTGGTGTGTGTGTGTGTGTGTGTGTGTGTGTGTGTGTGTGTGTGTGTAAGATTCCAAGAACATGGCAGCAGTGACAGGGTCCCTCTCTCCTATCTTCCAGAATATATTTACAATGACATTGATCGTAACTTCCTGGCATGGTAGTTCATTGTTCACTTACCAGCAATGCCAGCTTCCTGGGATAGTTACTCAGGAATTGCTTGTTACCATCTATTTCTCCTTCCCTACAAGTGTGGATGACTTTGGGGTAATATTAAAACTATTTTATTTTTTTTAATAGAACTGTGAAAAGATAGAGGAAAGCAGCAAAAAACTATTGATGGTGAAGAATGCCAAGTTTGAGGACCAAGGGTACTACTCCTGTGTGTTTTCCCTTCTTCATAATGGAAAACTATACAACCTCACTAGCACTTTCAATATTACTGTACTTGGAGGTGAGAAAAATCTTATAATTCAGAAAAAAACAGACCTTTATTAGTAAAATGGAATCTTTACTTTCTTATAAATTCTAGGAACTGAGGGGTCATTTTGTTAAGCTAGTGACCACATTTTTAATGTAAATATAAGATTCAAAATCTTTATCTTGGCTCCCATCCGCCTGGTTGAAGGAACATTTTCCTTGGTAGCAAATTAGTGCTCTCTTATTTAGAAGTTGAGTAAATAATTGAGCCTTCTCTTGCTAAACATTAACAGATATTTACTATGGTCTCAACTATTTCTTGAGGATATTTATGTTTAATAATCAACTTAATATTGGGAAGTAAAGGTAAAAAGGAAATATTGACCAAAGCGAGTAAGATACTTTCCTCAAGGAATTTATTATAGTCTAGAGACACTGAGGACATGGAAGTGCTATCATATGAAACAAAGTCAGCTGTGAAACTGTAAGGATATGCCTGGGTACTGGAGGAGTGGCAGGTGTAGAAGGCTCCATCCAAGCTGGGTTTTGGATGAAAGGCATCACGAAAGGGCAGGCCTTGTGAATGGTATAGTGGCCATGTGAGGGAGTAAGGGTGTCTGTGGGAAGGAAGCATGATACAGAGCCTGATTTGCTTTGTACCCAGATGAAGCATCTATAATGAAAAAAACAAAAGCATGGCTTTTATTGTGACAGGGCTATTAGAGGTAATTGAATCTAACTTCATCTCACCTGGTAACCTTAATATGGTACAGCCAAGAACTGAACACTAGACTTGCAGTCAGGAAAGTAGGGCATACAGCATGGAAATGTGGGAAAGGGAGTGATTGGCATTCTGGTTTGGATGGAGCAGATTGGAGTACTTAGAACAATAGTTTAAACCTCACTTGGCATTGATAGCTCCTGTCTATAATCCTAGCTACTCAGGAGGCTGAGTTTTGAGGAAGTCAGGTCAGGCAGGATGTGAGACTCTTATCTCCAGTAAATTAATCAGAAAATATCTCCAATAAATTAATCAGAAAAAGCCAGAAGTGGTGCTATGGATCAAGTGATAGAACACTTAGATTTGAGCACAAGGAGACTCAGGAACAGTATGCCCAGGCCTACAGTTCAAGCCCCAGGATTGGCAAAAACAAAACAAAATCCCCTCACTGTTGTAGGCCTGGTACCTGTGGCTCATGCCTGTAGTCCTACTACTCATGAGGCTGAGAATTGAGGATTGTAGTTTGAAGCCGGCCTGGGCAGGAAAGATTGTGAGTTCTTATTTCCAATTAACCACCAAAAAACTGAAAGTGGAGCTGTCATTCAAGTGGTAGATTGTTAGCTTTGAGCATAAAAACTCAGGGAAAGCTCCCAGGCTCTGTGTTCAAGTCCCATGATCAGCACAAAAAAAAACAACAAAAAAGAAACAACAATCCCCCTCCCCAACAAAAACCTGCTATCAACTCATTGTTTTACTTTGGGGATTTTTCATTTCAGTGTGTTTGGATCACAGCTCACCTTGGATCATTGCAATTACAGAAAGTAAAACCATAAAGAGAGCTCCTGGGTTAGACTCTTTTAGATGAGATAAGTGTATTATAACAGATTCTTCAAAAGACAATGTTAATTTATTTTTTTCATTTCTTTTTACCTTTAGATCACACTAAAAGAATTCCAGTTTACTTGGGACCAAAGTTTAACCGTGTTGAAGTTGAACTGGGTATATTTCAATGATTTCTTTGCATTTATAAACAGACATAATTGATTTTCAAAAAGTCACTGTCAATCAAATGAGCAAATCAGCTCAGGGAGTTTGTCCAGGCCCTGAATTCAAGCCCCAGGACTGGCAACAAAAAAAGAAGAAAAAAACAAAGGCAGTAGGTCTGCTTCTGGTTTGAAGACCATGGAGTCAGCCACCCTGTGTCTTTTCTCTAAATGCCTCTCTGACAATTTTCTAATTACTCTCCAATTGTCTTACTATTGTGTGTGTGTGTGTGTGTGTGTGTGTGTGTGTGCGCGCGCGCGCATGCGTATGCATGTGCAGGTTGTAGAGCTTGAACTCAGGGCTTAACTTTCTTGCTCAAAGCTGGTACTCTACCACTTGAACCACTACCCTACTCCGAGCTTTTTGCTGCTTAATTGGAGACAAGAGTCTCACAGACGTTCCTTCTGAGGCTGGCTCCGAATCTTGATCCACAGATCTGTTTTGTGAGTAAGCTAGGATTATTTCCAAACATGGAACGATGAGTCAAACTTGTTTCGTAGTTTGAATAGTTGATGAATTGATTCAGCTTTGCCATTGGATCAAATTGACTATACATTTAGGATTTGTCCGGACAGTTCTAATGAATCAACATGTCCATTTTTTTTTGGTCTGGTTGTGGGGCCTGAACTCTGGGCCTGGGCGCTGTCCCTCAGCTCTTCAGCTCAAGGCTAGTGCTCTACCACTTGAGCCACAGTGCCACTTCCAGCTTTTTTTTTTTTTTTTTTGCTTATGTGGTGCTGAGGAATCGAACCCAGGGCCTCAGGCATGCAAGGCAAGCGCTCTACCACTGAGCCACCTTCCCAGCCCTCAACATGTCCATTTTAGTGATTTCTTTCACCAAGGAAAGCAAAAAAGGAAAGGAATATATTTGCATATAAATATGCAAAACCAGGTATGATGCTTAGCATAAGACTGAAATATATTATTGAATCAAATTCTCCAACCAACTCAAAGGGGTATTGTCTATACTATGCATTAAAGGCCATCTACAATAACTTGAGCAGCACCAAGTCTCTCAGTGAGCTCAGAACTGAGCTGTGGTTGCTAGAGCCAGTGCACCTTGCATCTCTGGTAGCTGGCAGGGAGGAAGAAGGCTGCAGTCCTGTCTGATACAGGCTTTTTCCTTTAGAGACACTTGATTTCCTCAGGACAGTGAGACTGCAGGAAATATCACATAGCCATTGCAGCCTCTCATACTGCCCAAGCCCTTAGCAACATTCCTTTAAGCTGTGTGTACCACCAAACTTTTAGTAGGATCTCTTTTCTGTGAAACTCCTGCCAGCCCAACACAAGGAATAAAATGGCTGCCCATCTTCACTTACTCAAGAAGGTATCTTTCCTGACTTCAATTACTATTTGAAGATGTTCTTCTTCTAGTATATATTAATCATAGAAAATCATATATATTACATATATGCATATACATTATATATGTTGATTATATTCACCTGCCCCGGTTACCTAAACAACCCCTCTTTGGACTCTACTCTTAGTTTAACAATTTCTTTTTATTTTCTCGGTATCTTGATGCATTAAATTTTAAGGCATTTAAAAATAATAATTGAAGGATTTGATTTTCTGCAAGTTTCTATTACAATATTATACTATTACAATATGATACTGCTAAATTGTATACTAAATAGAATGTCTACTGGCTCACTTCAGTACTTTATTTCTTTTCCCTCCCTCCCTCTCTTCCTTCCTTCCTTCCTTCCTTCTTTCCTTCCTTCCTTCCTTCCTTCCTTCCTTCCTTCCTTCCTTCCTTCCTTCCTTCCTTCCTTCCTTTCCTTCTTTCTTTCTTTTCTCTCTCTCTTTCTCCCTTTCTTTCTTTCCCTTTCCTTTTCCTTCCCTTCCCTTATCTTCCTTTTTCTTTTTTGTGCCAGACCCAGGGCTTGAACTCAGGGCCTAGGTGCTACCCCTGAGCTTTTGTGCTCCACACTATCACTGTACCACTTGAGTTGCTGCTCTATTTCTGGATCTTGTGGTATTTAATTGGAGATAAAAGTGTTATGGACTTTGCTGCCCAAGCTGGCTTTGAACCATGAGAACTGTGATCCTCAGATCTTAGCCTCCTGAGTAGCTAAGATTATAGGCATAAGTCACTGGTACCTGGTTACATTCTTTTTTTTTTTTATCGGTCATGGGGCTTGAACTCTGGGCTTGGGCACTGTCCTTCAGCTCTTTAGCTCAAGGCTAGTGCTCTACTACCTGAGCCACAGTGCCACTTCCGGTTTTCTGAGTGGTTTATTGGAGATAAGAGTCTCACAGACTTTCCTGCCCGGGCTGGCTTTTGAACTGTGCTCCTCAGATCTCAGCCTTCTGAGTAGCTAGGATTACAGGAGTGAGCCACCCTCACCCGACTACATTCGTTTTTGATAACTGATTTGCATGTAAATATTTAAAGAGAAATCAACTCATAATTTGATGATGTCATTGCTACTAAATTCTATTATTTTTCTTTATCTTAAAATCAAGGCATATTATCTACATTTCTAGACTGTAGTACTATGCTTTATAGTAGGTTAACAACATCCAGTAATTATATTAATCTGAAACCTCTGAGAAATCTGAGTTTCTAAAATCAAGGTTGGTTGTCAACTTTTCCCTAGGAGAAAGTATAGAACTCAACTGCTCTGCGTTGGCAAATCAAAACGATGCCGTTTATTGGAATTTCCAGAAAGAGAATGAGACACATGTTAATGTACATGAAAAGGAAGGAAAGGAAATCTGGTATGTACATGTGGCATATAATAGATACTATGTTTTATATACATATATATATATATATATATAAAACAATCATCATAGACATGTAATGCAAAAGATGCTGGGATTCTGAGAGGCTGATAGATACAGTGTCTTGGGTTAATTTATATGATAATTTACTTACTTTGCTGTTATAAGAGGCATATATCCTAGGTTGATGAGTTAGACATATATTTTATTGTCAAGATCTAAGCAAAAGAAGGGCTATAGGAAAGTCAAGGAACATTTTTAGCATCACCCTATAAAAGCAGCTTTTAATCAGTCAGGATCTGGGAGTGGAAATTTATCTAGCTTCCTTTTAATGCACATTCTTGTAATTAATATCACTTAGTTGTACAAGGGGTTTCTTTGGCATATCCATCCATATATCCATACAATATACTTGGACGAAACTCACACTTCTCCATCACTTGCCCTCAATTCATACCTAGCTACTACTGCTTTTTTTCCCTCCTCCACCTGGTCTTCATCCTGCTCCTCCTCCTTTTCCTCCTCTTCCATCTTTTTCTGTGATGATACCAGGGCTTGAACTTAGGGCCTCATGCTCTTGTTTGGCTTTGTTGCTCAAGGCTCGTGGTTGGTCACTTGAACCATACCTTCACTTTTGACTTTTTGATGGTTAATTGGAAATCAGAATCTCATAGATTTTCTGCTGGGATGGTTTTGAACTGTGATCTTCAGATTTTAACCTTCTGAGTAGTTAGGAGTACAGACGTGAACCACCAGTTTCTGGTTTTCTTTTCTTTTTAAAGTAGGCAGTTTCAGGCATTTTATTTCAGTATTGAAAGCTGCCTAATACTCCAGCTACAGTTAGTGGAGACCACACTCTGGGGAAATCTTCAAGTCATTAGGAAGAAAGACCTGGGAAAAAGTCACTGAGAGAATATTGTTTTATATTTTCAACTTAGCATCATTATCTTCTAAATTCTACTTAGTTTGCAGCACATTTTGGGGTGGAATCAGGAGAAGTGTTTCAGTCAGTTTTGTTGCCTCTGAGGGAGATGGATGTTCACAGCATTTCACAATTTTAAAGTGCCCTCATGAAGGGAAGATGAAATATAGCCAATGTAGTGCCTACCTTTGGATATTTTAGTCATGATTTCTCCTCTTCTGGGTACATTTGATAGTCATGAATAAAGTCTAGTGTTGAATCATTTTCCTCTATTACAGGATTTCAGAAGGCAAAGAATATGTTTCAAAAATATTGAAAATCGAGAAAGTTAATGAAAAAAATATAGGTTTCTTATATAACTGCACAGTAGGCGATACAGTAAGCATGGACACCCAGAGTTTCATCTTGGTGAGGAAAGGTATGAAAGTTTTAAGCTTGGAAATTTGTGGAAACCTGGTAAGTAGCTACTAATCCAACCCTCAGAAATATCTACTTCCTACTCTTCATAGAAGTTCCAAGCTCCTCTCCTGAGAGGGGACAAGGCTCATCTTGTGACCCAGGACAAGACACTGCCCAATGGAATCCTCTGTGTCACAATTGCAAGTTCATAATGAAAACACACGTGTTTAGGCATTTGCTCTGATAGTTATATTCCAAACCTGAGCATAGACCAAATGAGGAGAACAGGGAGCAAACAAAGTGGGGGCACAGATGCTAGTGGGCTAGAGTTGTGGAGGAGGTGGAGCGTCTCTTTTTCATCCATCCCTCCATACTCAGAACAGCTGGACAAATGTCTGCAGATCAGTGTAGGATGAGCCGAGTGGATGGTGACATCATTGCTGCCTCCAGCCTACCTCAGCAAGACACTGAGGATCCTTGGATGTGGTCATTCACTAAGCAGAGATGAACTGAGGCCTCCTTCTATGAGTTAGCCCCCAGGCTTGACAAATGGGCAGATGATGACCTGATCCATGGATCTGTCAATGTTTCCTACACCTACTTGATAGAATGCTCCAGGCTGATTCATCTTCATTCTCTACCAACTCAACACAACTCAGGGCCTTGGCCCACTGGCTGTCCAGAAGTGGTTGTGCCCGGAGCCCAAAAGCTTCACTTTATCTTTGTCATCATCCACTCACTGTTATGTTTCATTTACTCATTCCAGGATCAGCCACCAACTCCCCAGACAATTAGAGATAGGTTAAATTCTGAGTGACAGAGATAGATGTAGAGATAAAATCATTGAACAGAGACAGATAGACAAGAGAGACAGAAACACATAGAGACAGAGACAGGAAAACAGACACATAGGGCCCTGGAGAGAAAGAGAGAGCACTGGAGAGAAAGAAAATCACAGGAGACACAGAGAGGCAAAGAGACAGAAACACAAAGAGAGATAACACTGAGATACAGCATCTCTCTCTCTCTCTCTCTCTCTCTCTCTCTCTCTCTCTCTCATGTGCACGTGTGCGCACACATATGTCTGTGCCTTGGCTCTTGTGAGAAGCAGAAGGAAGGTTACACCCAAGTATACACTTGCATCTCAGTGAGCTCACCTGTGTGAAAGTTATCACTCACACATTCGGTAACAAGAACTAATATTTATTGCACATTTTGTGTGTGTGTGTGTGTGTGTGTGTGTGTATCATGTGTGTGTGTGTGTGTGTGTGTGTGTGTGTGTGTATCATGTGTGTGTGCCATTCCTGGGCCATAAACTCAGGTCCTGGGTGCAGTCCCTGTACTTTTGTGTTCAAGGCTAACACTCTACCACTTTGAGCACAGCTTCATTTTTGACTTTTTGGTGGTTAGTTGGAGATAAAAGTCACAGAATCTTGCTTCTGGGCTGGCTTCAAATTGTGATCCTCAGATCTCAATCTCCTGAGTAGCTATGATTACAGGTATGAGCCTGTTACATAATGGTCTGGCAAGTTCTGTGTGATACTATTCTTGCAACTTCATGCCATCTTTACAAGTGAAGAAACACACCTATAGTCCCAGAGCAGATAAAAACAGATGAAACCCTCAGCTATGGCATGAATTAGTGTCTTTTCTTCTATAAGAATTGCCACAGATGTGGCTTACCTCTTCATGAGTCCTTATACTAGGGTCCATGCACTTATTCGGGAGAGGATTTCAGAGCTGTTATTTGTGGTTGACTTGTTACCTCGTTTACATTCTCTGGAGGATGCCTGCCACCATTTACCATCCCCACCCCCTCAGTGAGTGACTCCCTTGTCTCTGTCCCAAAAGCTTCTGACTGAATTCACAACTGAATTCACACTGTAGGCTGGGGAATGGGATCTCCTGGCCCCTACGTTTGGAGGAGTATGTGTGTCCATGATTGGATATATAGCTAGTAGATCATGGTTAACTAACCTTTTTAAAATGCAGGAACCTCAGGGCTTAGCTTTACTAAGCTTACTATTTAAGGGAATGATCATCCTAAAATTTGTTGTTGTTATTATTGTTGTTTGCGTGGCTTGAACTCTGGGCCTAGGTACTGTCCCTCAGCTCTTCAGCTCAAGGCTAATGCTCTACCACTTAAGCCACAGTGCCACTTCCAGTTTTCTGGTGGTTTGTTGGAGATAAGAGTCTCATTGACTTCCCTGCCTGGGCTGGCTTTGAACTGCAATCCTCAGATCTCAGCCTCCTGAGTAGCTAGGATTACAGGTGTGAGGCACCAGCACCCGGCCATCCTAAAATTTTTATAACAAGAGTTTTAAGCATGTTTATATTCTTTGACCTAGAAATCCCACTGTAAGAAACAAACATGATAAATATGTGTATATATGGTCACAGAAGCATTTTAAGTACTTATGAGAGATTGTAGTCAATCTAAATATTGAAGTAATGTGATTATGATTTCAGTGTCCTAAGGAAGTATTCCTGGTATATGTGAGGAGATAATGTGAGGAAATAATGAATGATTAACATATGATCTTAACTAAATAAGAACTTTTAAAAAGAAAACCATTCCCATCACGAAACAGTTATTTTATATGGTAAATTTAACTTTATTCATTATACTTCATTTAACTATCTCAGGTTTATTTGTGACAAAACCAAATTGAATATATCTAAGGAATGTGATTCTTTTCTTAAAGAATTTTTTTCATATTTGGGGTGAAATCCTGAATGCTAATGTGTCAGGAACTGTGTTAACCACTATGTGTAATATTGTATTCAATGTTCTCTAAAACTGAAGTTAAATGAAGCAAGATGTTCATTTATTACTTTCTTTTAATCGATGAAGACACTAAGATTTGAGAGCCTCTATGAATTTTCCCTATGATACAAACTAATTGATAGATCCAGGTTGCAAAATCAGATCATCTCAATCTAGCAATCTCTTGTTCTCTCTCAAAACCTTGTCTTGCATTTTCTCAGTCTATGAGCTGAGAGTTAAGTTCTGCATGGTTCACCTAAATATATTACTAAAATATTACCTCCAAGATACAGACAGAATGTGATCCCATGTTTTCTGTTCAGTTCTCTGAATATTCTTAGACATGTATTTATTTTTTGCAAATTAGAGTTCGAAGATTAGTAAGGGCAGGTATGTGAGTGACGGCTGGGATGTGGAAGCACTTAGTTAGATCTTTTTTAATTTTTTTTTTTTTGTCTGTTGTGGGGCCTGAACTCTGGGCCTGGGCACGGTCCCTTAGCTCTTCAGCTCAAGATTAGTGCTCTACCACTTGAGCCACAGCACCACTTCTGGCTTTTTCTGCTTATGTGGTGCTGAAGAATTGAACTCAGGGCCTCATGCATGCAAGACAAGCACTCTACCACTGAGCTACCTTCCCAGCCCACACTTGGTTAGATCTGTGGATTACTCACAGAAGTAAAACTGACAATTTAAGTGGGAGTCACTGATAGTACTTTTTTCTTTTCTTTCATTTTTTAATAGGAACAACTGATATCCCAAACCATGTCTTCACAAGAGGAATGATCATATCAATTTTGATCTCAGTGGCAGTAGTGTGCCTAGTGATTTTGTGTGTCATTTTTAGAGTCGACTTGGTTCTGTTCTATAGACATTTAGTGGGAAGAAATGAAACCTTAACAGGTAACAGATATCACAATGCTGGAACTTCTTATTTAATGCTGGCTGTCTTTACTATGCTCAATAAATAAATAGTAATCTTCATCTTATTTTTGGTATATTGTTGGCTGAATCTATGGGATAGGTTTCCCATGGTAAGAAAATGACTCCAATATGTATGTAACTCCAAAGGTTAATATTGTTGTGTGATCCTTTCCCTTGTGTTGCTAAAACTTTTTCCTTTGTTTTACATTTGTTCAGTTTGTTTTCTTAAATGTCCTGTCTGATCTTTGAGCTTAGGAACTTTACATTGGATGTGTTCTTGCACATATCACTTCCATAACTGATATAGTATATACACTCAATAAAGTTCATGTGCATTGAATTGTCTTGCTCATTATTTTCACCTGGAAAAAGAAGAAGCTGTGCATTGCACAAGACGGAGCCATGGACTAGAAGCCACATGATATAGGTCTGAGTCTCCTACACCTGCCACACTGTGTCTTTCTGTAGACTCTGTTTCTCTAAATTTGAAAGAGACTAAAAGTTCTCAAGTTTGATGTAAGCAAGGAACTTAATCTAATTCACTGCACTTGCTTTTGTCGATGTATTTCTGTGTTTGTGTAGGGGAAAAAACATTACTTAGTTTAAAGTTTCTGAGAAATCATACCATAGGACATTCCCTCCCAGGCTGGTCCCATGTCTGTGATGCCTACTCTGTTCCAACCCCAAAATGATATATAGATATAGATATAGATAGATAGATAGATCATATTGGGGTTGGAACAGAGTTTTGAAATTCAATGCCTCCATCAGAAAGAATGACACCACCTCATTTGTTAGGAAATGGAAAGACTTGGAAAAAATTATATTAAGTGAAGTAAGCCAGGCCCAAAGAAACATAGGTCCCATGGATTCCCTTATTTGCAATAACTAGTATAAGTCGAGGACAAGGAGAAAATGTCAAAAGCTATATACATATGACCATATAAGATGATGTTAAGTGAAATGAACTCCAAGATAGGGGCACAATTTGTTTTTTCTTTCTTGCCATTGTTGTTAATGTATCTAAAATATACTATGTGATTTTTTTGTTTCTCTTATATGTTCTTTCCCCATGGTATAACCCCTGTTTTCACTGTATTTGATATCAGTGCCCTGCATCTTGTTTATACATTTTCCTAATTTGGGGAGGGGAAGGGAAATAACAAAATGCTGAAACAAGGATACAGGATGACCCACTGTAACAATGAGATGTACAAGACATTATGTAGAAAACGAACTTTACAACTTGGGCAGGGGTAGGGGGGGTGGGGGAGGGAGGAGGCAGGAGTTGTGGAGGTGGGGAGGGGAGGGATGGTTGGGGAAAAACAAAGGAGGAGGTAACAATGCTGGATAGGAAATGTACTCATTACCTTACTTATGTAACTGTAACCCCTCTATACATTATTTTTACAATAAAAACATAAAGGGTCATGCAATAGACATTAAAAGACAGGCTACTTAGACTTGAAGGTAGACTCCGAACAGATGTAGTGCATAAAAAGGGCAGAAAGGGAGTTATAAGAAAAAAACTTTTATAGCAGTTAAACATTGGCATAATAGTCAAGCGTATGTTTGTATTGGTTTGTGAAGGAGTGAAAATGAAATTGACTGATCAATCAAACAAAGCTCTGATTAACAGATGGTCATTCACCACACATAATTTTAGAAACTTTGGCCTAATTTACTCCTTGTTACCCTAAATATCCATTGGAAAAATGATAGTTTATTTTATTTTATTCCAAGCAGAAAAAAAGTTCTCATTAACTTTTGAGTTTGTTTTCTTGAGTTTGTGGTCAGTGTTCTAAGCTATTAAACATTTCAGTGTCTGAATTTAAAATAAATTGTAAACTAAATTAGCCTTTTTAGATTATGAGAAAATTTCTCGAAATAGTTTGAAAACTATTTCAATAGTTAAAAATAGATTTTTTCATATGTAAGAACATAGTAAGAGTAGTACAAATCTGTATTTGACTAAATTGTCTCCCAGTTTTATTTATTCTTATAATCCTGATTATAAGAAAAGTAAGTTGGGTTCTAGTAGTTTATCCCAGTTATCCTAGCTACTTAGGAGGCTGAAATCTGAGGATCACAGTTTGAAGCCACCTGGGCAGAAAAGTCTGAGATTCTTATCACTAACTAGTCAACAACAAGCTAGAAGTGGAGCTGTGGCTCAGGTGGTAGAATACTAGCCTTGAGAGAAAAAGCCAAGTGGGAACATGTGACCCTGAGTTCAGTCCCAAATATTGGCACCAGAAAAAAGAGCAGCAAAATATTTTTATTACTCTTCTTCCCTCTTGATGTTTGGTTTTGTCACTGGTATCAGGAGAACACTAACTAAATACCTGTTCCTACCTACTAAAAACCTATATTTTACTGTAACCAAAGAGAATCCTCCAATGGATTTTTTAAATTACTAAGTGAATACATTTTCCTACATTTCCACCCTCCTGCCCCCATACTAGGTTGAGCTCACACATGCTAGGTAAGTGCTTTATCACTTGAGCCACAACCCAACCCCTTTTCCTACCTGTAAAACCCATGTAATTCTGCCATCTTCATCAAAATTTTCTGTCTTTCATATACATTCAATTCTGAAAGCAATTGCCTTGTATCATTAAAGCAATAGGTTCTGACCTGAACTGATGAGGCAGAATACTGCAGGTAAAATTGAGCAAACTTTTCCTAGAAAAAAGGCATCATTTCATGAGTCCAAATGCTGTTGAGGAAATTGGGCTAGGGCATTGGGCACAAATGAAGTGATTCTCAAAGGATGTTGATCCAGTATGATTTTACTTTAATATATTTTAGTCATGTCTAGATCTAACCTTTGTTCTAGTAGTAAATTTATTCAGCTTTTTCTGTTTAAATTTAAATTTCTTTTATTGTAAAGGTGATGTCAAGAGGGATTATAGTTACAGTAGTAATGAGTACATTTCTTGTCAAACAGTGTTACCCTCTCCTTTATTTTCTCCCACTTTCCCTCCTCCCTCCTCCCCTCCCCCCAAGTTGTAAAGTTCATTTCCAACATAGTGTTTTGTAAGGCCATTTGCCCACTTTCAAGGGGATTTACCTATTCTATTATCATGGGAAAGGCTATTCTGCTATCATTTCCCTTCTTTATGCATCTTAATTTGAGTAATTATGTTATTAAGGCCAACTCAAAATTATCCTCTTTCAGAAAACATGTCCACTGGGTCACTCTTCTTCTTCTGGACAAGTTACTTTATTTATCTGCTTTGTCTGTGTTGTGCTGTTTTCCATTTGTTATTTTTTGTGTTCAGCTCATTTCACGCATTGTTTTCTTTCTCTTCTCATCTAGAGTGAATGAAGCTAATGGGCAATGGCATAGTTTTCAGTTACTTAGTAAGGAGAATAGGCTTGATTATGTATGTTACATGCTCCTCCTGAATTTGCTCCATTACCTAGCTACATGCTGATCTGTCATCAGGAATTAGAAAGGAGAAGTTAGGACTGCTATGAAGCTCTCAGTGATCAGAATTGTTTTGACAGTTGATATCACAGAGTATCTTAGATATTGCAGTATGTGTTCTCCACCAAATTGTTTCTATAGTTTTCCTTTCTTCTTTTGTCCTGTTTATAGACTCTGTTTGTTTTTACTTTTAATTTCCAAGGGGTCCTCAGAGGTTCAAGCTAGGATAGTTGAAAGAGTTAAATGAAATGAGTGAGCCAAGATGAGATTTGCTTCTTATCTCTGGAATGAAATGTGGACACATTTGGACTCCTTGATCTTAGTATGTTTCCATAATTCTAGTGTCTTGATTAGGATTTTATATTTCTCTATTCCTCTACTGAATCAAAACGGTGTGAGTCTTAAAGTAGATGTTGAAAATGTTTACCTAACTAATGGCTTGGTTAGCATTTGAGTTTAGACAATGCTAAAAGTAAGTATCAACTATTCTATATTCATTATTTATATCTTTCACTCAAAGTTTTACTTGGACTTTTACTTTACTTACTTTACCTGGACTTTTACTCTTGGACTTTTATTTACATGTAATTAAGAGTTAATGTTGTCTTCTAGATGGAAAGACATATGATGCTTTTGTGTCATACCTGAAAGAGTGTCACTCGGAGAGTGGAGAAGAGTATACTTTTGCTGTGGAGACCTTGCCCAAGGTGTTGGAGAAACATTTTGGATATAAGTTATGCATATTTGAAAGGGATGTGGTGCCTGGAGGAGGTAAGAAAGGAAATGCTAGACAGAAAAATAGTATAGTCATTTTAAAATAATGAGTTGGTTAGCTTGCTCGTTTTGCTTAAAATATAAACAAATAAATAAAGTCATTTAAACCAGAAATAACCACAGAAGTCAACATCTGGTTAGTAGTTAACCAGGCCAAGATCTGATTTACTCACATTATTCGAACCCACACCTCCAGGGGAGACTGCAACCTGAACGCAGCACCTTAGACCGCTCAGCCATCCTTCACATTATTCAATAGAAAGAAACAACTAAAATTTGCAAATCCAGCAGTCTTTTCTCTTAGACTTTATACTGCATCATGGTGTTCTGAAGCCATGAGAGAAAGTATTGGACATCTCATTTTCAGAGCCAAGTACAGAGCTGGCATTTACCTGGAGGTAAATCAAGAAATGACCCGCAACAAAAATTACTTGATCCTTAGGTTTAGTTCCTTATATAATATTCTTATGTTTGGACTTGTTCTTTATGGTTTGATTACAATTACAATAAAAATTACAATAAAAATAAGAGGAAATTATTGGTACTCCTGACAGAATCATGGTTACAGAATTCAATAATTTTTACTATTATATGCACATACACTGAAACAAATTGCAGTTACAACCAAGGAAATTTGCTAATATTCTCACCTTTTCTCTAAAGTCTCCCACAGTCATTCTTGGGAATCTGAGATGAAATAATTTTGGCCACTGTTGCTAACAAGACATAAAATGTCGTCCCTGGAGTCATGTCTCATTCCTCCTTCAATTTTCATTGAAGGCCATCTCTGGGACAAGTTCTGAGTTGGCATTGGAAGTAGGGAAGAAACAAAGTGTGAACAAATGCAGTAACAGTACTCACTATGAAAATGAACTATACACTTTGTGGGTGGGGACAGGAGGGAGAAATTGGGAGAGAGCAAGGAAAGAGGTGAGATTATCTAAAAAGAAATGTACTCTTTACCTGACTTATGTAATTGTATCCCCCCTACATCGCTTTTTATAAAAACAATAAAAGATTAAAATGAAAAAAAAGAAGTGCAAAGAAAAAAAAGAAAACAGGACAGAAAATAAACTACAATTTCCCACCTGTATTACAAATGAGAAAGCAAAGATTGATAATTAGACAAAATATGTTAGTCAAGTAAAAAACAATTTCCCAAGGGATAAAATGCCAATTGTGAAATACCTACAAGTACTTGTGTCTGACAGTTTCTACCTAGTAAACACATAATTTCAATGGTACGTATGCATGGCTTTACATCAATTTTATTATATTCTAGGAGTAACTTTAGAAATAGGTTTCTTTCAGGTGCTTAAGTAATAATAAAGAATACTTGAATATATAATTAAGTAATATCTTAAGAAATGATAAACAATACTTGTATATAAGGTAGTCAGGTTTGGTTGAACTCTAGATTCTAGAACAAGGCTTGGCAAACTTCAGCCTGTGGCTCACATCTGGCTGGCCCCCCTTACTGAATCAGTGCCATACATTTTTGTGTCCTTGTCTGAGACAGCTTTGGAATGCTGACAAAAGGGAATAGTTGGGACAAAGACAGTATGGCCTGAAAAGCCTGAAAAATTAACTCTATATTTGCAGTAAAAAGTTCATCAACCTCTGGTTTAAAATAATAGCTCATGTAGAGTGAGGAAAATTTAATTTAATTTAGATTTTAGTGTTCTTTGGCTTCTTTGTGTTTTTTAATGTTTGAGTTTTGATTTTTGCTTGTTCTCCATGCATGAGGAGATGCAAAATGGTAAGACCAGGAATATATATGCCATCTGAATTCCGTTTATATATCTCATTTGTATCCATTTGGATTCAGGAATTGCTTAAGCCACTTACTAGCTGTGTAACTCTATGCAATTTAACCCCTCTGGACTTGGGCTTTCTTGTCTGTAAAATAGGAGTGATAATACCTTCTACGTAGAGTCATTAAGGTGATTTAGTATATATATGTATGTCTATAAATATATACACTGATAAATGCATATGTATATGCATTAATTGAAATGTGTATAAATGTGTATGCATACATTTATGTTCATATATATCCATTTTGTATCCATACATATATTGTACGACACAGGATATGTTACTTGGATGTTCATTATCTTTGTTACTTAGTTGCTTTTTATTAAGTACATAAAACAGAATAGCTGACTTCCTTCATGTAAAACTTATTACAGAAGCTAAAAGTTAAATAATGTAAAATAAGAGATCGTGAAAGAATTTTTATTCCATGTCTAAATTATCAGTTCACTTAATGACACTTCTTAAATTTTCAGCTGTTGTGGATGAAATCCATTCACTGATAGAGAAAAGTCGGAGAATAATCATTGTGCTAAGTAAAAGTTACATGTCAAATGAAGTCATATATGAACTTAAGAGTGGACTCCACAAAGCACTGGTGGAAAGAAAGGTTAAAATAATCTTAATTCAGTTTTCCCCAGTGAGTGACTTTGTGTTTTTGCCTCAGTCCTTAAAGCTTTTGAAGTCACACAGAGTTCTGAAGTGGAAGGCTGATGAGCCTCTTTCTTACAACTCAAGGTTCTGGAAAAATCTTGTGTACTTGATGCCTGCAAAAGTCACCAAGCCAGGTCAAGAAGAATCAGAAGACTTGCCTGTTCTTTCTGTACCTTGATGCTCAGAAAAGGTCAATGTCAGAAAGAACGCTGCCCCATCTGGAGACTCAGTGTGGGGACCTGCATATAGCAAGAGCTGTTCTTTCAAACTCTGTGAAAATCCTACTTGAAGTGTGAAGATGAAATGTATCCTTAGGCCTTCAGGAGTGAGACTACACTTGCAGCTGCTGTCACTGCCTCCCAGAAGACTTTGGAATTCAAGGAAGTGGACCTCTTCTTCCTCTCCTTTCCAGAGCCACCTACAGAACTGTGCACCTACACACCAGTCCTGTGCTCAGGGAGAGGCTGGGCAAACAGACTTCTGCTTTACAATAAATGGCTAGGGTTTTCCATGCCAACAGTCAACTGGAGGATTTTAAAAAGGCATTTTCTAGGAGCTACTGGGTGGCCGGATCAATTAAAAGATACCTTGATTTCCCCTACAGGAGCTATACTTCTCTAACTGCAGCATGGCATGTAGTAAGAAGAGGGATGGCCACTCTGTACATAGTAGGGCAGTGAGGTAGGCTGGGGCATTGGAGGTGAGGGGTAGGGAAGGGTTGCTACCTCAGAACTTGGGCTTCAGGATGCCTGGATTGATCCCAGCCACAGTGACTAGGCAACTGAACTATTATGCACAAGTGAGTTGAGCATACCTTGTTTATTCAGACTCAGGGAGATGTGTATGTGTGGAGGGGGGGGAGTGTGGGTGTGTGCCAGGCCTGGGCATTGAACTTAGAGTCTAAGTGTTGTCTCTGAGCTTTTTTGCTTGAGACTAGTGGTCTACTATTTGAAGCACACCTTCATTTCTGGATTTTTGGTAGTTAATTGGAGATAAGACTCATAGACTTTCCTGTCCAGGTTGGCTTTGAGCCATGATCCTCAGATCTCAGCCTCCTGAATAGGATTACATGTGTACCCCACTAGCATTCAGTATCATGGGGACTCTTAAAAGGGAATCCCAGCAAACATTTTCAAATTTTTCTTGAATAACGAACATTTTCATTCACTTTTAGTGGTCTAAAACATTTGTTGATTTTATCCAAACATTTATGTGCCGGATGGGTGCCAGATCAGATAAGCCATGGAGTAGAAACATTGCAAATGGTGGTTACTTCTCTGGTTGGAGGTGACACAAGCTATGACAGTTTCCATCTTGAGCCTTGTGAGCTACTCTAAGCTTTTGAGGGGTTCTTTACTTCTGTGACTTCTGGAGCTTTATATAACCTGGCGGGACCAAACTTCTATTTCCACATTTGTATAGTCAGAATTTATAATAGTTGTATGTATTTCCCAAGGGTACCAAACAGATAAATAGAAGTACTTATAACCTACCACCCTGCAAAAGTTGCTGTTAATATTCTTATTATTACCATTACTAATTATTATTTAGCAGTGGAGCAAATGGAAGTCATAGAGCAGAAAAACGAAGTAGAGATAGAGAGTGACAAGGTTTGAGTTGCAGGTGTTTGTAAAGAGTAACATACAGGAGAAGCACTTGGATGGAGCAAAAGGTATTTCTCTGTTAGCAGCTGTAATGATTAGCATTGGAGATGTCTCTGACTCCTTATCGAGAACCCAGTATTGTGGATCCCAAAGCAATGACATTCATGGAAATCACTGAGGGGAGCTCTCAGTGGTGCAGAGGAGAGAGGAGGATAATAAGGATATACCTCTCCATTTGGAAAGTTGGTTAGAGTTTATGGATACATTGTGAATTTTCAGAAATAAGTAAATCAGAATCTGTAGTACAAGTTGCAAGATGTACTACATTTTTCAGAGTACCCCAAAAGAAGTTTTTATACAAGAAAATGCTTTGTAACGCTTTTTACTTTGTGTTTCTATCAGCTAGCTAAACTAAAAATGTATGCTAACTGAATACTTTATATTTTGCAAGGGAAAATATATAGATCCAAACATATAATTAAGGTAAATTTCCATTGCTGTAATAGTCTCGAATACAGGTAATGGCTTTGATTTCTTTTTATACTTATGTTTTAAAAATATACATGCAACTTTTTGTGCTAAATATATTTCACATTAAATATATGATAACAACAGAGGTGTTCTTCCAAAATTTTCATTGAAATACTTTAATGGAACTTTGGTCTTGTGCCTTTGTTTTTGAAATATTTCTGACCTTTGTTTTGCACTAACTTTCAAGATTCCAGTTTAAGATTTTAAGATTCTGTTTTAATAAGATATAAGACATTTGAAATAAATTCCTATATCTCTCATTTTAGTGTATTTATTTATATTTTGTGCCAGCCAAATAGTAAATGGCATCTGTGTGCTATGGGCAGAATATAGAAGCCTTATTGCCCCATCTACAAGTTACTACACTGAGAGTGAGCAGAATCGTTTTATTCTTTGAGCCAATATCTATATCCATATAGGAGAATTCTCAAAACTTGTCTTTACATATGCCAGCCTGTATATATGTGTGTATATATGTGTCTATATATATATATATATATATGTCCTACATATGCGCTCAAATGGCTCATTGGCTGTCTACTACTGGACCATATCTTGGCCATGACTTTTTTTGGAAAAAAAGTTATTTTGGAAACAATCTCATGAACTTTTCTGGTTGGTATGGTCTCACACTTGATCAGATCTCAGAATCTGAGATTATAGGCATGAGTTAACTACTCTGGGCTTCCTTGTGGCATATCTTGTGGGTGTACATACACAATCAAAAAGCACTGTATTTCATTTATACAATTACTATGACCTGACATGTGCTTAAGGGGGCTGCACTTATTAATAGACTTTCACGTTGGGCATCTCTCAGTTTTCCAGGATGCTTCAGGGACATACTGAGATGATGGATGGGCATTCTGGGGACACAGGTTGGACTTCAGATACCTCCCTTTCTTGTTTGCTTCAAACTCTACAGCTAGAGAATCACTGCTTTTAGTTATTTTTGATGAGATCTCACAGAGCATTATTTAGCAAGAAAAAAGTACCTCTGAAGAGGTTATAGGGTAAATGGAATGATCAAAATCCTTTCTTGTTAGTTTAATGGCTTATTTAGAGTGATAAGAAGCCAAGTCTAGGTTAATCTTCCAGGTATATTTCCCAATTTACACAGACCATCTGGGTTGCCAATAGGACTGTTATCTTACAATAGACAGGAAGTAAGGAGTACAATCAGGGAGCTCTATCTCCAGGTCCACAATCAAACTTACTGCAAAGTAAGTTGACCAATAGCTCTATAATGTAGAATTACTGAGATGGGAAAAAATCTATTGTTTCTGTGAACCTCAGACTACCACGGGCAACACCTTGGAATAGCAGTCTTAGCAGGAGACTAAACTAGGTACTACTTTCTAAACACCTGTTCATATAGTAGGGAAAGGCTGCCTTCCTACCCAAACCATTTGTTTTGGGTGCTCTTTAAGAGACTATTATTACAATGAAAAGGAAAAGGTACGACTGGTGAATAGAAGTCAAAAAGGCAGTGCTAAACTAGGTGCTGCTGGCTCATGCCTGTAAGCCTGGCTACTGAGGAGACTGAGATCTGAGGCTCAGAAGTCCAAGCCAGTACGGGCAGGAAGGTCCCCTAGACTCTTATCTCCAATTAAGCACTAAAAAATCAGAAGCTATGCTATGGCTCAAAGTGGTAGAGCACTAGCCTTGAGCATAAAAAAATCTCAGAGACAGGGTTCAGGCCCAGAGTTCAAGCCCCAGTACCATCACACATATACAAAAAAGCCATTAAGTCAGAGTGCGTTGAATTAAAATATTTCTCTAAAAACAACATTGTTTTCTGATTTCTTGTACATGGAGTTGATTAACAACTAGCTTGCTCACAGATAAACTTCAAAAGAAATAGAAAAAACATTTCATTTCAATGCTGAGTTTAAAAAAAAAAAGAAGAAATAGACAAAGATCACAAATACCAGTTTCTGGGTTCTCTATCTCTTACTGTCAGATGAATAAAATCTCTATACATGACCAAAGAGCAGCGACTCTCTAGTGAAAGTAAATTAGAATTATTTTCTAAAATCACCACTGAAAATGAAGAGATGAATGCCATTTTTACAAATGTGCATGGCACATGAGTTAACTTTAAAATCTACAGAAGGTTCGGTCACATTTTATGTTGACGTTCAGTGATGATTTGCAGTATATATATATATAGTGATGTGAGAAGATGAATGGAATGGTTATGAAAATGTGAGCTGTGACCTATTGCACATGTTTTTAAAAATGAAAATCCATCTTTAAATACTCACAGCTCATATTGCCTAATAGCCAAGACTCTTGCAATTCCATTATTTGGTAAACAATTTTTTTTTACAGTGAAAGCAGGGGTTATACTGTGGGGAGGGACATACAAAGCAACTAAGAAATAATCTTATAAATGCGTTAGAAACAAATGCATAAAAGAAAAATAACATATAAATACATATCTTAGGGTTCATTTTCCTAACATCACCTTATCTGACCTTTTCTGCTTGACTCATACATATACTAGATATTGCAAATAAGGGAAACCATGGGACCTATGTTTCTTTGGGCTTGGCTTACTTCACTTAATATAATTTTTTCCAAGTCTTTCCATTTCCTAACAAATGGGGCAATGTCATTCTTTCTGGTGGAGGCATAGAATCCATTGTGTATATATACCACATTTTCTTGATCCATTCATCTACTGAGGGGCATCTGGGTTGGTTCCATATCTTAGCTATAGTAAATATTGCTGCAATAAACATAGTTGTGCTGGTAGCTTTAGTGTAAATGCCCAAAAGTGGGATTGCTGGGTCATGGGGGAGCTCTATGTGGAGTCTTTTGAGAAACCTCCATACTGCTTTCCAAAGTGGTTGAACAAGTTTACACTCCCACCAACAATAAAGTAAGGTTCCCTTCTGTCCACATCCCCTCCAGCATCTGTTGTTATTAGAGTTCTTGATTTTTGCCATTCTAACTGGGGTGAGGTGGTATCTTAATGTTGTTTTGATTTGCATTTCTTTTATGGCTAGGGAGGTTGAGCATTTCTTCATTTGTCTATTGGCCATCCTTCTTTCTTCTTCAGAGAAGTTTCTCTGCAAGTCTTTAGCCCACTTATTTATTGGGCAGTTGTTTCTTTGAGGATTTGTTGTTGGGGGATTTAATTTTTTGACTTCCAAGTATATTTTAGATATGAGACCCTTGTCCGTTGTATGGCTAGTGAAGATCTTCTCCCAATCCGTAGACTTTCTATTGATCTTGCTAGCTATGTCCTTTGCCATGCATAAGCTCTGCAACTTCATGCAATCCCATTTGTCCAACCTTTCTTTGATTTGTTGTGTTTCCGGGTCTCTATTAAGAAAATTGTGGCTTGT